TCATTGTGCCGGTTCTCCACACTATGGGCGTCGCCACACCACTCTCAAAATGTGAAAAAAACAAAAATGTGTCGGGTGCATCTGGCCATGTTCTAGCGGAAATTTCATTCTCATTTTGCACATTTCGAGAGTGGTGGGGCTACGCCCTATGCTACCCGTAGCCCTGACGAAACTGTGGTACCTGTCCCGCAAGATTTTTCGTGGCAGGGGGACTGGTGGTTTAAGAGTAATGCTACTTAAACCACCAGTTCTTCCTAAAGTCGTGCCTGTTATCGCGCCTGGCCCACGATTTTAGGAAACGTACGGGCAACTACAGGAGCGCCCAAATTCATCCGACTAGAAAAGTTCCGCTATTTTTCTTTCCGCCGCCTATAGCTGGTCCAAGTACTGGTGGTTTGAAGTTTTTGTACATTTTATGACCTACGCCAAAGGAATTCCATTCGCTAGAGACAGTATTCCTTCTAGTTCTAGGTGTGTAGTAGAATGGGTTTAAAAAGTACACACACACAGAAAAAAAAAAACTGGGAAATTTTGGACTCTCAATTTTCTCAATTTTTCTGCCAAAAACAAACAAACATTGTCAATCTCAGTTGTGGTTTCCTGGTCTTTCTGGTCATGCGAGGGAGACGTAGTGTGTATGTATGAGGATGATTAGGGATTGTAGAGGAGACTCTGATAAGCCTAGTGAGTTAAGATAACCAGTACCTACCACGTTTTTAGGCATGTGGATTAGTCTGACGGTGTGTGGGACGGGTGGGGGACAGGTGGGTGGCAGTGTGAAATAGGGAAAATAAATGTAGAAAAACATTTCATGACCAAACAAATGAAGAAAAAAATGCTAAAAAGAAAAGAAAGTGCTCTTCTCACAGATGGTGTCTGCTCCAGGCGGGGTGTCAGATGTCAGGGTATGATTCACTGACCATGGCTGTGGCAGTCTTGACGACTGCATGTGAGCCAGCACACGGACCATGATATTCATTGACAATAGTCTGAGGCTTCCTTGAAATAGGCCGCAGTGCACGCTGTTCTGTTGTTCTGACAGAAATTCTCTTTGGCAAAGGAGGGGAAGAGTAACTGCCGACACCATTTGCTGTAGGTGAGGGGAATCTGATCTAACCCTCCCAAACACCTCCCAAATCACAATCCATTTCCAACGATAAAGCCATTTGTCTTTTTTTTTTCTCTCTCCATTTATGCGTGTCATCCTTGCACAGGGGCCATGCTAATCTTCTCTGTATCGTTCCAATATTAACTGATGTCCCGAAGGACTAAAGCCATTTGTCTTTGCCTTCCGCGGTGAATGAAACGTGCGTGATTTCATTACGGTCCCAAAAAAATTGATCTCGTTTTCACGCACGTTTGGGACCTCCACAGGACCCCCGCCGGTCCCCGGAGCAAAAACGAAAGAAAAACCTACCATTGGGAGAGCAAAAAAACCATGATCCTTTTCCCGGGCTTAATTCACAAAAACTGGCTACCACTGATTTCTGCCGAATCCACAATGCCTGACAGTCACTCACCTCAAACACTAATCCACATACTACACTGGTAGTGGGATCTCGCTCCAGAGGCTAAAAAATTCTGAACATACCTGTCAGTGCTGTCACAACATAAGCTCAATAAGGAAGGTCCATAAGTCGTGATCGTGACATATAATCCACAATAACTTCTACAATAATTTCCACAATAATCTCAAGACTGCCGCCCTTTTTTTTTTCTTTTTCTTTTAATTTAAGGATATAATATCAGATTGTCGGGCAGCCCACTTATCTAGCGGGTACAGACAAGAGATGTTTTTTTTTTTTTTTTTTTCCTGCTGTCCTCGCTGTCGCACGGCTGCAAAACTAAACGAACCCCCAGGTAGTCGGACCAGGCCCAGAGAGATGGTTAATGGAAGGCCCAAAATTTGGCTTTTTTTCGCCGAAGGCCCAGAATTCGGGGGTTTTGCCGCATCACCACAAGGCCCCCGGTACATTAATTGATTTTTGAGATTGTGCAAAATTAAAATCTGACGTGTATGTTGCCAATTGTGGTATGTAAATATGTACACACAACACCATTGAACTTCAAGTTGATTGACAACCCGCACCCCCGCTCCCTCCCCTTCCCCCCCCCCCCCCCNGCACACACACACACACACACACACACACACACACACACACACACACACACACACACACACACACACACACACACACACACACAGAGACAGAGACAGACAGACAAAAGAATTGTCAATGAGCCAAACGATGCATACCCCCGTGCCTGGAGGAGGCGCTCCACTGCACACCAAGCTTTGCCAAACCGCCAGCGAGCAGCGGTTAACATCTTTTCTTTCTTGGTTGCACTGCCAGCCAGCCATTGTGGTCCGGTAGGCGCAAGGCGCAAATTTTTTTCGGGTGCGCGATGATTTCATTTTCAGCGAGTCTGGGGCCGTGCGCCGGGGTTTGAACTGGCAGTGCGCCAGTGTACAACAAATGTCCATGTCCATCCTTCATGCCAGGCCCTGCACTATTCACTCCTTTGCCGACAGGTCCCTCTGCTCTCGCACTTCATCAGACTGAGCGTGGCTGTGGTTCCCGTCCTGCTCCAAGCGCTGTTGGGGCTCTCTTCAACTTTCTTTTGTTGTTGTTGTATCTTAAAAATTTAGAAAAAGAGCACCGGCCTTGACATGTCTACTTCATCTGATTCCATTCAATTTTTTATCTTCAAACTCAGGCCTTGGCTGTTTTTCAACAGCCTGTGAGAACAGCTGTCAGTGAAAAGTGTAACCGCTGAGAGCTAACCCAGTGGTTGACTCTCTTCAAGACTTCAACCTTCGACAGACTCGCTCGTGCGAATAAATTTTGAAAGTCGAAGGAAACGAAAGAACGAACCTGCTTATGAGTCATGGCAGATTGCAATGTTCCGGCTGAAATCTATGCCTTTTATTTAATATAAGGGTTTCAATTTTAAGGCCGACGTATCTATTAAAATGATCGTTGTTATTTTACGTCGACACCGTTCGGACCTGTTTCTGAGAAGCGGCACGTGCAGGCAACCAGTTCCAGCGCCCTGCGAGTGGGCCTTTGGAATCTCACCAAACAATGCTGCATTCAATTTGCTGTTTACTGAGGCAAGGTCCAACGTCACGGTGAGAGTCCAAAGGCCCACTCACAGGGATAAATAGACGTTCGTCAGTAGGTAACGAAGATGAAATTATGGCCAATACCCCGTGGACTGGTGCAGCTCTGATGTAACCAGCTCTGTACTGAGGCGGCTCTGTTCGTGAATGTCGAGTACCAGACTCTGAGACTCAGGGTCTCGCCGCACGGCACACGAAACGAAAACGAAACGAGTGCGTCTGCCGACGAAAGGTGGCAAAATACGCTCGTCACTATTTATAGCAAACCGAGGAATCTGGGCATTTTGCTGCAGGAAGATGCACTCGTTTCGTTCTCGTTTCGTGTCCCGTGCATGGCGACGGCCTCAGTCTGGAGGTGGTATCTTGACTCTCTTCATGCTACCATCTTCCTCAAAACACAATGCACCCTCATTCTGACGGAATGTGGCCAGAAACATACCTTGTATACGTTCCTTTTCAGGGTGCGTTATGTTCGGGGGAAGACGGTAGTAGGAACACACAAACCCGGGCAACCCGGGCCGGTCGTTATTTTGGGTGGCCATGTACCATCAAAGAACTGCCAGCTCACCAAAAGCCGCATTAGGGAGCTTCACACAGAATCACACTCGGGGCCCAGGTCCAGCCTTTGCTATCTTCATGGCATTGCCAGGAATGAATAAGCCTGGACGTTATTGCTGTAACAGGCTAACAGCCATGTTCATACGTCCCCTGGGCCCTGGCATGATGAACACCTCAGAGTCTGGAATCTGCCACGCTCAGTATGCGGCTGCAAAACCAGCCACGCAGTGCTTACGACTCAGTCTACTCTGACACTCCGGCTCAGTGAAGCTGTCCCACTGGTCTTGTACCACCTTTGGCGCCTCTAGCTCTGCGGACACGTCGGTCTTCGACTCCTCCCGAATTGATTGTTCATGGTGGCTGCCTTGAAACCGATTTATGTCATCCTGCAGGGGCTCCCGATTTCCCATGAAATTTTCTTCACCTCAGAATCTAAGTTAAACCACAAAGCCCCTACTGCCCATGGTAACCGCGCGGCTACGAATCCCCCCCAGTCAGAGCATTGAAATCGGCTGGCGTCCATACAAGGCAGTTCTTTGGGTTGACGAGATCCAGGGTGGCCGCCTTGCAATTCAAGTTCGTGGCCGCAGTCACAATTTCGTCGCCTGCAGGCAGTAACTCCTTCGGTTGCATGTTGACCGGTAGCAATGTCGACCATCGCTGTTTCTTCTCCCAGCTAAGATTAAGGGCAGTGTTCTTCAACCACCGCAACTCTGCTGTCAGCAAGTCCACTCTCCCAATCGCATGGTACACGAAGTACTTGAAGTGGAAAGGTGCGTCCCTATACAACGCCGCGGTGGCCTTCAGGCCAGCTCCTTTCAGGCCTTTTTCCTCTTGCTCTCCGCCGAGTCTTTTAGGAACACTCCTGACATATTCCAAAGGGATTCAATCCCTCTCCTCCTCCCATTCGGCTGCCTTCACACCGAACCTTTTCTCCAACCCTTCGTAGTCGATGAAATTCCCGTCCTTCCATTCTTTCCCCTCTTTGTTTTCCGATTTGAAGACGATGTAGTTGAACAGACGCATCATGTATCTTTCCTGCTGCATGATGTCGAGGAGGTTGCTCATGTTCAACTTCCGTGGAGGAACCAGTCGGGTAGTGGCGATGACCTTCTTATCTATCATCAACCGCAATGCAATTTCCTTCTCTCGCCTCGTCATATCTCCAAAACATTTGAAGTTTGATGGAATGAGATCTTTGAAGGACACGGTAGCTTTTGGTCCCCCGTCCTTAGCCGCTATGCAATGGAACAACTCCTTCTTCCCCTGCACCTCTTCAGTGTATTGGCCCGGCACCCAGCCTTCCTGCTTTCCGGGCAAGTCCTTTGGGCATTTGTTGTCGTGCAGCAGCAACTCCCCCGCCTCATACTTCTAAAAAAACTCCTTAACCAGTGTCCATACCGGGTCCTTGCATGTGGCGACATTCATGTACCCCCTCATTCTGTTCGTCCAGTCCTACTGCCACTTCCCAGAGATACACTCGGTCCACAATGCTTTCTCACACGACTTCCCCATGCACGACCTCAAAAATTCCCTCCATGTTTTCTGGTGCTCCAAGCCTTTGGGATCCCCTTTGGACACGTTCCCCAYAGGCCCGATCCGTTTCTTGCTGTCCCAAAATCCTCTGATGTCCATGCAGGCTTGGYGGAACGATGGCAACATAGCACGGTCACCTCGCGTGTTGTCATATGTGGAAACATAATGGTACCCGTTCGTATGGTCATCGTCAAAATAAATRATCCGTACACGATCATAATTCYGAAAGHCRAACACCTCCACCGCTGCAGAGTTCTTCRCCACCRCTCTTTTCATAGCTTCGGAAGAATGTTGACCGGCAACCGGGTAATAGAAAAACTCATCTGCCCGTTCGGGGTCGAAATCCTCTGGAAGGACGCGGGTTCCTTGTTCGTCCGCGTCCTTTGATGGATTAATCGGAGCCAGCACCAACTCCGGTGGATCCCACGGAGCCGGATCATCCACGGACTGTGGGCGAGTTGATGCTTCRATTGCCGCTTCGATGCCTGCGAYGATGGCCGGGTTCAACGCTCGCTGGTTGAAGGTGATCTCTCCCACCGGAATCGGAAGAATCTGCATGACGTCAATGACCACCCTAGGCGGGTCCTTTCTCTTTTTGTCGTTTTCGTCGTACTCGAGGAAGAAGCACTGCGTCATGTTCACCGCTTTGGGTTTCTTCGTCTCCGGTTCGTCGTCGTCAGGGATAGAGAGCAAACTAGGGGCCACCCCTTCAGCATCGTCGCTCGAGTCATTTGATTTCGGGTGCCTCGACGGCCGTACAGGCTTCCTGGGTTGCGAAGTTTTGCGAACCCAAGCTTTGGATTTGGATTCCACACCGGCTTCACCAGGCGTACCAGCAGCTGCATCCAAGGCGAGCCGAGCGTCCTGCACAGCTTTTCTTCGAGCCTGCTTCTTAGGCGCGGCTCGCTTCGGCGATGATTCCGCTGTGCRTTTTCCCCTCCCCTTCGAAGTAAGCTCCGCGGAAACATCGACATCCTGTCCTTCGTCTTTCATTTCCTCGTCTTCCATTTCCTCATCTTCCATCTCCTGGTCTTCCATCTCCGAACCACCCACATTACCATCGAGCAACCCGCCGCTTGCCGCTGCCTTTTCGCAATCCATGTGGTCCTTCCCACCACCACATTCTCCTTCATTCTCATCGTCTTCTCCATCGCCCCTCGCCCGGGCTTCGTCACCTCTACTATCCTCCCGCTCTGCATTCACATCGCAAAAGCCTTCGCCCTGGGTGAACCTTCGCGTGGCTAGTGACTGGGATTGCAATCGGCAAATCCGTTCATTGTCCTCCGTCTTCTCGCTTGACTCCTCGTCCATTCGACGTTGGCAGGTGTCCCGCGAGCGCGAGCTTCTACCGGCACGCGAGCTTCCCGGAAGACTTGAAGGTGGTTTGTCGAGCACCTTCTTCTTCGCAACGTTCCGATGACCCACCGCTCGGACGCCTCTGGTAAGTAATGAGTTTCTCCTTCGCGGACACAGATGGTTGCGGAGTCGAGACATCCTGCCGCCGATCGCTAGAGCACGCTGACAAGCCTGCGAGACTTTCTCATGAGGCCTCGAACGGCACAAGAGGCAACGAGAGCTGGTAACCAGCGGAGACCGTCGGGTATTGACCACTTCTCCTATACCCATTGGTCTTGGTGAGGAATTCAATGGGTAAGAGAATCCTCGAAGCATTCCCGTCCCACTTGCTGCTGAAGGCTTTCATACCGAATGCCTTCTGAACATACCCCTTGAACAGAGCAATGTCAAGGCTGACCTTGTGGTCAGTCTTGACCCAGTTCGTACCCTGCTCATCGTACACCGAAGTGAGGAAGAATTTCCTCAAATCTCGGTCGTCGACCTTACCCTTSTCCGCCRTGGCCTTGTCAACTTCAGACCTGATGATGCCACCACAACAATACCAGGTCGTCCCTTCGTCCTCCGTCAAGAATACAGCAGCACCGCACCCGGGCTCGCCGGGCACTCCGACCCAGTCGAGAGCTCACAGCTTGTCGCGGTACAGTTTTGACCTGTTGTTGTACCTCTTATCCGCATCTTCAGGACACCTACAACCTTTCGTTGGAGGAGATATCAAAAAGAAAAAGAACGAGGGATGCATCAATGACACCTATCTCTATCTCCCACATCACGAGATGGAAAAAACCAAAATACAAAAGCAATTCCACGCCACATGTCGGCGGCAGACCTATCTCTACCTCACACTATGGGCAGCAACCGCATGTGTCGACCCTGGGGATCGCGGGGGTCCTGCGTTTGCCAAACGCAGGACCCCCGGCTGCCGACCGACACATCGGGGGGGGGCGGCGGGGGCCCCTACGTCTGACTAACGCAGGGCCCCCCCCCATCGATGAATCGGCTGATAGCCGGGGGATCCTGCGTTTGACAAACACAGGACCTCCCGCTACCGGCCGGCACATTGGTGGGGGGTCTTGCGTTTAGCAAACGCAGGACCCCCGCCGATGTGTCGGCCACTAGCCGGGGGTCCTGCGTTGGTCAAACGCAGAACCCCCGGCCGGTAGGGGACAATCGGGGGGGGCGGGGCGTCGCGCGTTTACCAAACGTGGTGGGTCCTGCGTTTGCCAAACGCAGGACCCCCGACGGGTGCAAGTTTCTATCGCGGGGGGGTCCTGCATTTGTCAAACATCAGGGGTCCAGCGTTCGTCAAACGCCGGGGGTCCAGCGTTCGTCAAACGCCGGGGGTCCAGCATTGGGGTGGGTCCACCGTTTGTCAAACGTCAGGGGTCCAGCGTTTATCAAACGCGGTGCCCCCGTCGCCGGGGGGCCCTGCGTTTGACAAACGCAGCCCCCCCCCCCAGGTACCGCGTTTGACAGCGTTTGACAAACGTTGTACCCCTGCCTGACAGGGGTCCAACGTTTGTCAAACGCGGTACCCCCGTCGTCGGGGGGTCCAGCGTTTGTCAAACGCGGTACCCCCTGGCGACGGGGGTATTGAGTTTGACAAAGGCTGGACCCCGGCGTTTGTCGAACACTGGACCTCGTTGGGGGGGGATCCAGCGTTTGACAAACGCATGGGGTTCTGCGTTTGTCAAACGCAGTACCCCTGTCGCCGAGGGGTCCTGCGTTTGTCAAACGCAGGACTCCCCCCCCCCCAATGGAGGTACAACGTTTGACAAACGTAGGACCCCCCCCAACTGGGGTACAGCGTGTACCGAAGCGCTGGACCCCTGTCGGGGGGGGGGGTCCTGCGTTCGTCAAACGATCGACCCCCGTCAACGGGGGTACAGCGTTTGTCAAACGCGGTACCCCCGTCGCTAGCACACCGCACTCGTATGGTAGATTCGTTCTGGACAAGTGAGTTTGGTAGATTTGTTGTAGGCGAGTGAGTGCCCTGAATGATAATAGAAGCCAATGATAGACTCTCACTCTGTCATGGCCGAATGTTGTGCCTATCTCGCTCTGCCAGGTTCACCGTGTCGAGCGCTAATGTGACCATGACATCCGAACCATCCATTCGATTGTTTCATACACCAAATGAAGCCAAAATTGTTATTTCGGGTGAAAGTCGATCGCCTTCAGGCTTTGCTACACCATCGAAACGTCGGGGTCGGGTGGACTCCACTGATAGGTCACATGAATGATGTGGTGTTCGTCGCCGCCAGACGGTGACAGGCAACATTGTCGTTAGACGTCTCCGTCTCGAAGATATCATCAACGGAGGTGCAGAAGTCGCTTCCGTCGGTGTCTCCACAGAACCGTGCCCCTCGGGTTTCGTTCATCCTCCTTCTCTGGGCGACGGCGATGATGACCCGTACGATTTCGTACTTTCCCAAACAACAATCGCCGAGTTCGAACGGGAGCAACTGCTGAGAGACCAAGAGGAACGAGAGCAAGCTTCGATAGATCGGCGTTCAGAAGTCGATGATGCCGCAGCGGAGGGACTATCTGTTCCTCCCCGGTGTTCGTTGTTTGGTAGACAAGGCAAAATGAGGTACACATACCACACGCGCAGACGAGGATCGAACGAGTCGGATGCCACCTATGAACGTAGATGCAGCCTCAAAGAGTGTGAGGCCGTTGTGAAGAAGACATGTTGCAAGTCTTACAGGTGTCTCTCTAGAATGAAAGCAGTGGAGGTCCAGAAGTGCAGACGCGAGTTCGGATCGTTTAGAGGCAAGGACAAGCGCAAGTGGTGGATAGACAAGCTTCGTAGTTTCACGTCTCTGATCCAAAGGAAGCCGAAGGTGAAACCTATTGTAGAGATGCATCCGGTCTGTGTCACCGCATGGTGTTTGATACTCGGTTGTGGCCGAAACACATACAAAAGACATAATGATGACCTCGACGAAGGAGTCGTCGATGCAGGTCATGCTAACGAGGGACGTCCTCGGACAACAACGCAATATGCGTTGACATGGTCTGCGTTTGAGGATATTATCCTCGACGAGTCCGATCCTATGCCGGATCAGACGGAGACGGGTCCGGATTTCGAGATTAGGAACCGTATTCGTCTCCCTTCGGTGTATGGTAGTAAGAAAGTCGTCTATAATAGCATCGAACGCAGGTTAGGCAAACAAGGTGTGTCTTGCGCGTCGTATCAGGTGTTCTGTAAGATATGGAGAGACTATTTTTGGCACGTGAGGTTGGCTCGAACGACTGACCACGCGAGGTGCAACGTGTGCATAAAAAACGCTATCCTCATTGAAGGAGCACTCTCGGGGCCACTGCGGGAACTGGTTGCAGCGCAAAGGAGCCACCTCGATCTGCAAAAGGCCCATCGCAAGCAGTATGACCGATGGTCGGCAGAGTCCGAGCTGCATAAGGACCAAAGTTTGTGCATCATTATAGATGGAATGGATCAGGCAAAGACTACCATTCCCCATGCATCGCGCCGACGTTTGTCTAAGGAGATGGCTAATAATACGATGATGAAAACGAACCTCACCGGTATCATAGCTCACGATAGGAATCCGTCGTTGATTGTGCATACCTGGTTTCCTTATCTTTCTCACGGGTCGAATTCAGTAGTTACGTCCATTGCCAAAGTTTTGAGGGACGTGCAAGCGCGAGAAGGCAAACTCCCGCCGTTGCTTCGCGTCCAAGCTGATAACTGCGGCGGACAGAACAAAAACAGATTCGTCTTCGCATTTCTTACATTGTTGGTGAAGTTTAGGATTTTCAAGGAGATTTTGATGGGGTTCATGATAGTTGGTCATACCCACACCGACATCGACGCGAAGTTTAGTTTGTTTGCTCGCAAACTGAATGGCTCCGACTCGTACACGATGGAAGAACTGTTTGCGGTGTTGCAACAGTCATGTGAGGAGCAAGTGGAGTGCACCCAACTAACGGAAATGGTGGACTGAAAAACCGCGATCTCACCGTACCTTGACAACTTGATTTCAGGTCATGCCACACCCCACCTTTTCCATTTCTACATGGAGGATGATAACCCGGCTATGCTCTACAAAGCGCACTGCACCGACAAGAACTGGGGGCCTGAGAAGGGACCGGTATACTGGTTCAAACGGAGTGCAGACAAGAAATGGGCAGGACCCGAATGGGGGTTCGAGCCGCGACGCGAGTCGCCCAACCCTGCTTCCGGCGACTTTACAAATGGCAAAGCGGGTTTGCGCGTTTTAGTTAAAACGTGGAAGGACGCAATGAACGAATGGGAAACACAAACAATAGA